TCCAGGGGAATGAGATGATGGTGTAAATTCGCAGTTCAGGGGAACATTTTTTCTACTATCCAAATAGAGATAAATAAGTTAATTAGTATGACAGATCAATTAAAATAGCACAAGATCTTTGATCGGTACATTGTGTTGTCTCAGTTTTTATGGTCAAATTATTCAAAGACTATTGATTGGTGAATCCAACTGTTTTTGGTGGATATAGACGACTTATTTGGATTCTGAGCGTTGACTACAATCAACAGTTGGCAACTTTCGGTAATACAGCGTGGAATCAGTTACAATAGTACAAAAGTACTCACTTACATTTCAGAATAGGAACATATCTTACATCATGCATACCTTAGTTTTATTGTCGTTTACGAACTATTTTTAATGCTTCATACTATTATTGACACTAGCTATTGTTTCCACTCTACAATCCATTCCTCTTGTTAATTTCATGTCTCTGCGTTCGTATGATATGGATAGGTCCGATTGGCTGACATTTGTGCTAGGCTTTACATTTATATCGATTATGATCGAGTGAGTGAAAGATTACCTCAATATATTTTCGGGATTTAATAAAGGTAAACTAATTGTTGAATAAATTAGTTACAAATATTGAAAATAATTTTAAAAAATATATGCATAGGAACATATGCACATACTACAACTAATCAGTTCGTTACACGATCAATAAATATTAGAAATCAATAATAATAATAATAATAATAATAGTAATAATAGTACTGTTCTTTACGGAATCGCGTGTACTTAATGAAAAAAATATTCCCACGTAGAATAATCATTTATTTACTTTTCTATTCAATAAGATTATCAGTTTTAGTGAGACGCATAAAAATTACGTAATTTATATTACAATACAATTTATACAATTACTACAGCTATTTTATAAATAAAAATTTACTACTGATTAAATAAATCATTCATCTAAAAATTAATAAATTAATCTATTTTGTAATTATTCCCACAAAACTGACGAGAAAGAAATTCTTTTCTAAATGCAACAATTTTCAGTGTTATTATTATTATTATCATTATTATTATTATTATTGTACTTGACAATTCCGCACTTAAACACAAACAAAAAAAGACTGCTTATCTATCGGTAATATATATGCTCCGGAGTAAGTATACATACTTTACGGATATTCTATTTTTCAATGCAACTACAGTTATATAAGATACAAATATATGAGTTATGAGAGAAAAAGGAACCATTAGGTATTATGTATTTTCACTAAACAGAAGAAGACAAGTGGGCTGAGAGAAAATAAGAACCAGCAACAAAGTCTTAATAAAGTTAGTTCATCGATTAAAGAATATAATATCGTACTACTTCAGGCAAGTTATACTTGATAAGTTAATTTGATGTTGGTTGATTACAAGACAATAATCCCGAAGCCCTGAAATTATGAATGTTATATTTAACGACTTTTATTAGCAAACAAAATGAAATTTATACGATTAACAGGTGTCAAACTTCTTATTATAATAATAAGAACACTAAAGCTGAAGGTATACAAAAGATTGGACGATTAAGGACGTGAAAACTATATTCAAGACATATAGTAAATTCTCTGTGAGTTCAAGACAATTGAAAATTATCGAGTTCACACGATAGAGTCCAAAGGATTTTCATGACTTGTGTATTCTAATAGCAAAATTCTTCAGCTCGAGCCATTGTGAATATGAAGCTGGAATTTGCCTATGTCCGTGAAACAATGGACCTTACAAATCATTAATTGAAGGGTAAAATAGAATAAGTCCGAGTGTAGAAATTCAACAGCTTTGAATTCAGTTCATATGGCTTAGAAAACTATCGATAATCGAATAGAAATATTGCATGGAAACTAAGATTTGTTTAAACGTTTATTATCCGAAACGTTTCAGAATCTTGTTTTGATTCACATATGTGGGTTAGAGAAATAAGACTGTCACATAGCATGAGAGGAAGTAAATTAGGCCAATCGACCCCTTAGGAGCTGTTAGCAATCAAACAAAGACTGTATAACGGTATTTTGTTTCAACAACTTTTGAACCAAACGTTTTCAAAGGACACTTGCCGTTGCCTCTTCGTTGTTTGTAACTATGCTCCCATTAACTGCAGTGAGATGAGGTAAAAGATGAGCTTTAAAGAAAGCTTTCAGACGTCCTACAAAAAGCCCGGTACTCTGATATAGTAATAATGCCTGGTGATCAGGTAGGTAGACTAAGTGAAAAAAAGACACTGTGTCTTCTCAAAAATAAACAGCTACTCTCAAGTATTGCCGTCTTCTTTTATTACGGTAATAGTAAGACAATCAAAGTAATAAACAAAGAGACGAGTAGTTAATTAGCTTGTAAAGCTTATATTACTAAAAATACAATCGACACTTTTGATCTTTTGAAACTGACACATAGATTTTACCAGAGAAATGACAAACACATACGTAAATATCATTCGGTGTTGATCATTTATTTTTAGAATCGTAAAAACTGGGGTAATTTAATATTGATTTAATCAAGATAAAAAACAATTTAACAAAACATACACAAATCAGTATTGACATTAGAAAAGCTTTAGAAATAAAACAATAGTGAAGTGTTAAATATCATACAGCCCCAAAATACACTAATAAGGCTCAGGGTGAGATTATACCCGTCCTCTAAATATACTTTCACATGTCTGTGGATACATAGCCAGTGTCAGGAAAGTGTTACCAATTGATTTTAATTGACGGTGTTGTTTATAAGATTATGGTTTAAAACCTAGCCGTGGATGTATAGATTACATATACAAGCTCTCTACTCGAACACTAATGGTCGAGTGACAGCTTATGGCGACCTGTCATCAGGATTCATTACTTCAAGTGGAGTTCGTCAGGATTGCCCACTTTCTCAATTCTTACTCAACTTTCTCATCGACATGCTTTTACACATGACACTCTCATCATCTGACTTTTCACGAGTTGAAATTTTACTGGGAGATTCACTCGCTGACTTAAAATATGCCGATGAAATACATAGTTCTATTTGGTGAAGACGCTGACTAAATGCAGAGTATTCTGACCACTTTAATTAACAACGCAAGCATGTTCGGCATGCGATTCTCCTCTTCGAAATACAAAATGTTGATTTAGGACTAGTTTGCAGTGACAGCTGGATTAGTGATAGGGACTGAAGTAGTTGAGTGTGTTGACCACTTCACTTATCTTGTCAGTATCATCAGTGCTTATGCCTTGGAGTAGCTTCGAAGCATTGCTCGTATATCCTGAAACCATCAAGTAAGTAATTATGTTATTAGGAAAAGAGTATCAGGTAACGATGGCAGATAAATTGATGAAGCAGTGAATCTTCATCGCTTCAAGTGGTTCGGGCATGTATTACAAATGCCCAAACACTGACTGCCTCGGCGAGTGAGGTTTTGTGATGTAGGAGCAGGTCGGAGGAAAGCTAGGGGCGGCCAAACAAAAACATGACACAAATACATGAAGTCACTGACAGGTGGACTGAGTTATCTTGGTAGGTGTCGACTACCTGGTTGGGTTCTGCGAGTCGATAGTAACCGATGGTTAGAGACTTCAAAGGATATGGCTCACAATCGTTTCCAATGGCAATCATTTCCAATGTGCATTACTCTCCTCTCTCAAATTCTAATATTCTGAATTTCTCATCACCCCTTTTTTACTCTTTCTAGATTTGTTTCACTGAACAATACTTCGTGAATAATATCTCCGAACCCTAATCTTCTCCATTACCGCTAATACTTCTACTATCTCTTCCACAATGGGATTTAAACTGACAGCTGTGTCTCTGTGCTAGTGTGGTATGACAACCTGAACTGATGTTCCTGTGTAGGAATTTCTATGTTTTAACTAACTGACTGACTGACAGACCAAACGTTATCAGAATAATGAGCGAATGGAAATTCAAAATTCTTGTTAAAACTAATTTCCATTGAATAAAAAATGACTTAAGTCATCTAGTGAACTATAAATGAGGCACTTAAAATAGAGGGTGGTCCATTTTAGTACCTACTGGAAAGAAAGAAACAACACTATCTTGAAAACATTTATCCGACAAGACGAAACAAGGTACAGTATATGTCTGTATTCCTACCTCTAGCTATTAGCGCACATTTACCAACCTACTTACTTGTCTATATACGCTCAGCAGCAAGAATTAAGATACGACTTACTAAAATAACAATTTCTAAATGTATAAGAATTAATAACTTTTATGTTGGCTAAAAGCTACACAGGTATTTTCTTATTCTTAGTGTAATATTTACCTATTGTTTGACCAGAAAATCAAACACCATCAAAATCTTACCATTGTTAGTTATCATAATAATAACGTAAGTAGGTATTAGCTTAGTACAGTACAATTGATAATTCAGAAACTAACATAGGTTTATTGCAAAAAAAATAATAAAATGAAACGGCTTTATACTTTAACAACCACAAAACTCCTTTATGAAAATATGTTTACATGTAAATAAGATGTCAAAAGAAAAGGACGCATTCCACTGTATATTATGTCAAATAAACAAAATGATTGAAATCATTTGCATAAATATGATATCATTATGTTTGTACTTTGATGAGTGAGAACGTTAACTTTTTCAACATCTATTTTTAGCCTACTATAAAATTACTATTATGATTATTGATTTAATTAGTTTAGGAGAATTTGAACAACTTAAAAATCACCGAAAATCAAAAGCATTGAACAACTGTCTCGTGTCTGAAAGCCAGTAGGATACATAAATGGAATTCGGGGAAATCATCTGTGCTAAAGATTCACACTTCTGAGAACTTCAATAACGATGAGAACAAAATGGGAATGGATATTTTGAAGTGACATCAGTCCTTGTTACATTGACAACGTAAACATATATGCTAGAAACTTAAATTCCGGAAAAAAATAATCCTGTGAAACAATTGTGATTTTGAAAAAGTTTCATTATTAATTCATAGAAAGTGAGAACAGTCATTAAGAGGAAAACTTACCAATTTTTCAGGTGTAAATCGAAAAACATTCGGTCCAAATACAATACCCAGTGATTCGGTAGACATTTTATTCTCAGATTGATGAACAGATACACGATGTAGAAATTGGCATAAATGCTTCAGCAGAGTATAATTGAATACTGGCAATTGAGCAATTAAATTTTCCAATTGAATTAGATAAAGATCTTGTTTTGATCCATATTCCGAATAAATCTAAGGTAATAAAACGAATGAGAAAAATAAAAATGAATAGGTGGGGACGTTCAGAACTGATAACAGTCTAAACAACATATTTATTAAAAAGACGCAAAACAATTACATAAACAAATAAAAACGTAATGTAGCGCGCACTTCTGCACCAATCTCTATTGACATATTTCATACTAATGCTATAACATTAGAATGGACAATTCGAAAATAAATGTGAAAGTGTTGACTAAAAATAGTAGTAGACAAAAATGAAGGCAGAAATTTAAATCTACAGGAATGCAAGATGTAAGCCAAACGATTTCATTTCTAGGTCTAGTTACTTTTATAGTGTTTTCAATCCGATTAGCCAGTAGATCAAGTGGAGATAATTGGCAACTAGGTGGAATACAATCAATGATAATAAATGAAACAAGTTTGTAAACTATACCACACACAGTTACCAGCATCTCATAAGCTTTAATGCATAGGGATGATCATCAAAAAGTTTACTGTCCTTTTTTACATACTACACAAACTATAAAGTAAGTAGTTTTTAATAGCAACTTTTCAGCTACTCAATCAGAAAACAACAAACAACTTGACACAGTGGGGGTAATTAGCAAAGCGTCACAATGATAAATATCGATAATAGTGAAAAAGATTAAGGATTATTAAATATGGTTAGAAAAGAAGGCATGATTTCGAAGAATAAAACGTACGAAATAGTATTGAAGCGTAAGACCTGGACAGCGTTAAATAGAGAATGCACTTGCTCCACTGATGTTGATTATGAGCCATGTTACTTAATGCCTGCCATTATTGGAAACAATAAACAACTAGACATCAACCGTATATTCTGCTTCTACAAACACAGGTCAGTCTGAGTATAAATGCTTATGTTAGTTTGGCTGTCTCCAGTTTTCTTCCAATCCATTTTAGCACACGTTAACTTTGAATATCGAGGTAGCAGTTGGTTGGAAACGTATAGTAGTACATATCTTCTGACTTATTAAAGTTGAAGATTAGGCCTCATATTCACACAGTACCCCATGCCGAACCTCAATAGTGCTCACGCTTAAGTTCCACTAAACACGACTAATGTTTAGAAGATATTTATGATAAAACTCTTCCACCTTACGCATGTCTGCTATTTTTACAGAGGATATTCCACAGCTACAGTGATACAGTGCGAAAGGTTCAGAAGCAACACACAGAAATTATGACTGAAGTAGGATTTTGAACGAATTTCGTGTTTTCCTTATTACACAAAGTAGAGATATATGGGACTGATGATATCATTGACAAAAAAAGTACACAGATTAGAAATATTTATGATTCAACTGAAAACATAGTTGCAGAAAATTTAAGTGTATTATTTAACCTTCATTAAACATGAATAGAAGCCTCAATAATTCAAAAAGTTAACGATATAAACTCAAGTAGACACCAAACAACTGAGTATTATCAAACTTCTTTGATTATATGAAAAAATAAACAAATTTTGTTATGGGTATCAAAAGCGCAAGTAGGAGATCTATACGCGGGAGTAATTATGAGTGTTTTAAGGTAGCCAAATTCCTCGTTGATTTCCGTTGATTCATAAGTGCCCGAACGGGGGTTACTGCTCGTGTGCGTACTCTTTGGATGTCCAACTTGTCTGCAGCCCAACCTAGACAACATGTATGTTCCCGCAAGGGGCAGGGGTGATTACTGTTGGCTACAGTGAGAGGCCTTGCGCTGTATATCAACACAGCGATGTGCATGTGCAGCAGGCCTGTTGGTTGACCATGAAATAGCCGAATTCCTCGTCATCTAATCTAATGGGTATATTAGGTGACGCGCATAAATGGAGCCTTTTGGGGTTGCGGTGGTGGCTGCCTCTTCGCGGCCCCGCTAGAAACGTGGCTTTGTTTACAGAGCTGCGGCCAAAGCCGTCCCGAAAACTTAGGACACCGTGCCTAACATGGTCCAGAATAATGGTATGTGTTCATGGTCGCAAGGCTGTGGATGCGGTTAGCCACTCTAGGGGGTTAGGACTGAACGCCTCTAAGTCTGAATCCCGTCCATCGAGCGTAGGTAAATTAAAATAATGGTATTAGCAAATATCTTGAAAGGGATATAGCTTTCCAAGATACTTGAAGGCGGCCCTAGACGATTTGTTTGGGGAAGCAGCCGTAAAGATCCTGGACTATTGACGCCGACCCTATGTGGTTTACCGGACTCTCTGCATCTCGGTGTATTGTGTAAACTGGCGTCGAGGCCCCTTAAACAAGGGTCTCCAGTTGGGTTATGTGATCCAGTGCTAAAGGGTACTGGACGCCAATGATGTCTGCCCACTTCTGTGGGATTAACCCAGCTTGGCCGAGTGCTTGCACTTGGTTGAGTCTATGACATCTTTCCCATGGGAGGGTGTACGTTCCGTCTGACCATGTGGGACAAATTCAATCTTTGTTGATTCATAAGTGCCCAAACGGAGGCCACTGTTTGTGTGCGTGCTTTTTGGACGTCCGACCTGCTTGCGGGCCAAACGGGACAACATGTACGTTCCCGATTGGCGCAGGGGTGATCACTAAAACGGTTAAAGTGAGAACCCTTGTGTTGCCTGAAAAGCAGCGATGTGCATGTGCAACAGGCCTATCGGTTAACCAAGATTTAGTTATACATTAACGACACACAATATATTCATCAAATATTGAGTTATTGTTTATCAGATCAGAACTAATCTGAAAAGTCTAAAAATATAATTATGAAAATATTAGTAAAACAGAATACAGACACTAGGAATGTGATGAAAAACTGCCATGCAACAAGCGGTCATAGACTTTCGTTTTGGTTTAGTTAACACATTAATAACAAGCATCTGCATATTTGAAGAAAATGAGGCTTTTTACACAGGGATTCGGAATCAAATTATCTAACACCACGCTACAGTTATCAATAAATTAACCAGTCACCGAATAAAAACTAACGTCCTATTGTCTTATTATCAATATTGATTAAACAGTGGTTGTTATTATATGATCAAAAAATATTTAAACAAAACCTAATTCCTAATTGAATTAATTAAGCATGTATATGGTTATCTGAAATGTTTTTAGTTTATTTATTGTCAATGTTTTTTCTATCTTGCGAAAGGTCCCACTAATTAACGTCATATTTTTTTCAAATCACCAAAAAATCTGTTATTATCTTAACACTTATGTAAAAAAAAGATTGTTATACTTTTCAGTACAAAACTTTAATGCATTAAAAGTTGAAAGTGATTTTTTATATGTTAACAAAAATATAAAGTTGACGCTGATTAAAGTACAAATCAAGGAGTAATAATATCTGAAATTCGATTTTAAGAAACAAGCCAATGTACGCATCAATGAAAAAGTCTTGTAAAACAGTCTTTATCGACTGAGATGGCTTATGAAATGTGTAAGTATGTCTAGAACTCATCTACTCTGATTTACTATTCTGGATACTGCGAGAGAATATTGGAAAATGGTAAAAGATGTTAGAATTAAGACAGAATCAGACCAGGGAGTTCAAAGTGATTTCAAACTTATCGGCTAAATACATTTTCAGCAATCGAATGTATACGACATCTTTCCTGATACTAACATTTAATGACCAACTGAATTCACGCAAAATGTCAAACAAAATAATAAGCAATAATCGAAAAACAAAAGGTGAAAAAAAAACCCAGTAAAACGAGTAGCCAAAAAGTAATCCGCTTTTTAAGAATAAGCAGAAGGTAGAGTTCAAGAATCGTTTTGGGCAGCAAGAAAAATTATTTTTGAGTTACATTGCTTATAACAGCTACCTTATTCACAAAAAGACTTGAAAACTTTTGTATATAGTTTAGTATTTCCCTGTTAGCAATGTTTCTTTTTTCTAAATCAAAATTTTAAAAAAACTTCAGATAATGAACATGTTTACTACATTTTAAAGTCGTTATATTGAATGAATAGTTTAGACTGTTTATAGTAGAAACCGCTAGTCCAATAAACACTAAGATCCACCAAGAAAAAATTGATTGCCTTGCCCATCCCATTTTTAATTCATTCTCCGGTTCGTGTCAGTCAGTAATACTATGGAAAATCTACAATTTGTGTGATGAATTATCCTTTCAATTGTCTATTTTAACAATGAAACAATTTTAGTAAAATAACACTCACAAAAATAGTCAGACAAAATATCAAACTGAATGAGTAAAATAATGCACGTTTGCGTGTACCAATAAACTCAGTTAAGTAGTTATTTTTATTAAAATAGCAAGAAGAGATAAATTTACATGAATAATCGGATACATGAAAAGCAAGTGAAGCAAGTAAAAGATGTGTACTGTAAATCCAGCTCCTATTTCTTCGGGCAAGAGTATTGAATATTTAAATATTTTTGTTTAATAACCTCGAAAAAGACTACCATAATCATTTCAGCATCACACACTTCTTGCCCAAGAAATATCATTATCTAGAGAGTAAAACAAAATGTATCGAAACATGAAAATTATAATTATAAAAGTTGAAGCTATAGTTCGTTTTCGGTTGCATCATCTTGATAGAATGATAAAGCCATTACTTTTATTTCAAAAGATCTAACAGTCTACTGGATCAACCAGCAGTAATACGAATTGGACTTTTCGTAAACAGTTGAGATGGTGCTACGACAATACAAATTATAAACTAGATAAACCTTGTACCCTATTTTCAATCGGTTCCAAGGTTACCAGTCAATGACGAATGAAGACGTAATCAGTTAAACCTGTCCATCGTAATAACAGTACAGTGATTAAATGATATCATGTCTGACATGATATACAACGTCAACTCATCGGTGTAAATTGATGAGTATTTATTCCAATGATCTCCTAAATAGTGTTAACCTAGAATTTGATAACCGTCTTCCAAATAAACAATTCTTCACAAACAACCTAAGTGGTATTTTTTTATTACCTTATCGCAGATCATCGATGAGGTTTTCGTGAATTTTGTTTGGGAAAGATGATAAATTACAGGAGAAAAAGTTCAAAGAATTTAAGTAATAACAATTAGTTTGAAGTGAGTAATTGCAGAGAAATAGTTATGATTTTTTTAAGCAAAGTACACCAGTGTATAGTGTAGTGTACATATGATCTAGTGTAAGTTTAGTTAAATAGTAGAATTTGAGAACACAAGACACTAAAAAATATATAATGTTTATACATAACAGTAAATAATTAAAATCATATTTATTTGGTCTGATATAACACAAATACACACGTATGTAGATAAAAAAGACACGAAATATCAAATGACAATAATAGTATCATTCACTGATCAATATTGGTGCGAACACCTTTTAGTTTAATTGATTGATTACTAAAGTATATAAGTTAATTTCAATGGCTACATTTATGGGAATTCTCTTATCAATTCTGATATATATATATATATATATATATATATATATATATGTATATATATACATATATATAAGAATTATTTTTAATCAATGGTGTTAACAAATCACGGTTAATAAAACTTATTTAAGAAAAATAATCAATCATCTAGTTAAATCGGACCAGCAAATACTATTAAAAAATCTCATACAAAACTAATAGCTTGCAGCCAACGATATTGTGCTTTGTGATTGATAAATATGCTACAATAAGATTGTTATTATTTTGTTCAATAATAACTGTTCCACTATTTCTGATACAACTGATTGGTAAGGAAAAAAAGAAAACTTTAGCATAACTTAGAAATAATTAGTCATGCAAATTGATCGAATACAAACAATCGTATTTTAATGATATTTATGCATTTTCTTTGGTGTTTTTTCACCGTCATTTAGAATTATCGGTCAGAACTACTATTTCGCAAGTTTATAAAGTAACCGTAGTTTAGTAATAAAAAATCAACTTTACTAGTGAACTACGACAGACAATTTTTCTTAGTTAATCGTCATTTCACAACAGAAGAATTATATTTAGCTCAATTTTTCTGATACACAATGCTGATTATACTTCTCGGTTTTTTCGAAACTAATACTTGGAAGTCCACTATCATTTAATCAAGAAATTTCACACAACCTGATGCCATTGTAGGTTGATGCAAACAAAAAACAATGAGGAAATAAGCAAACTAAAGCTACTGTTCACAAAAGTAATTCTACTTAGGTGTTGATAGGTTTCTTCGACAAGATTTTGTATAAACACTATTTTTCTCAATAAAAGATTGTAAGCAGTTGCATATGAATTCTCTCAAATTTACCATTCAATAGATTAATACAAAGAAGCAAAGATGTTACAGCCTATAACTGAATTCCTCCCTCTAAAACGTTTGTTAAATGAACAGATAACAACAGTTGGGTAATATATAGAAACACCTACTATTTTACTACCAGCCTATAAGTACCTACAAATTACATTTGTGTGAAATATCCAATGATACTAACAAAGTGTTTAAATCAAGTTTATTAGATCTAAACTTGAAGCTACAACTGAACAACTGAAAATCATATACAGTTAACAATTAGGCTATTAATTTTTAAACTAACGAACACGATTTAGGATATAACTGAGCACATTTTTTTACTCAGATGAAAATGTTGCGCTCTAATGCAATGTAATCAACAGCAGGTCGTGGCAGATCAATAATATGTTGGCAAAATGTCTAGTATTGTGTTAAATTAATTGTATCATTAGATATACTGATATATTTCGGAAAAATGTTGAACGGCAAAACTAGCTAGCAAACTATTTTTGGTTAACGGTTTTTAGTGTATATGAACTTGTAATTAATTGTAAAATGGAGTGGAATCTATAGAAAAACTAAAGAACCAATTGATCTCAACGTATGTGAGCAACATTGCCTTGTTAAAAGGAAACATTATGGTGTGATAAAATCGTTACATTAAATAAAAGCACGTTTCGTTTATTAAAATAGAAGCTGATTGATAATTAAAGATGTTTCAGCAATACTACTAACGATATGACAGTTTATGGCCATGTTTAAACTAGTCATCTGAGATAAAAATCAAAAATATATGAACTAGTGGAATGAGAAACGTTTTTACAAGATGATCTAGAAACTTAAGATCCAAGGGAAAGCAGAGGGTAAATGCACTTGCGCCATTATGAATGAGTCTGAGCTACAACACTCAACGTCTTCAACTCAACTATTGCTCAGAACCTAACCAGATAGCCGGCGCCCACCTACAAGACTCAATCTTTATGAACTGATACAAGGTTTCGACTTTCTTTGGCTTCCTCCCAACCTATTCCTGCACCAACCTTCACCAGGCGTCAAGGTAGGCGGTGTGTAAAAATACGTAAAACATATCCCACAGGTCACAGCCGAAAAAGATTCACCACTTCATTACTTTATTTGCCATGCTTATCTAATACCATGATTTTAGCGATTGGGGCTATGAATGTTAAACGTTCGGCTAATCTTAATTATCATATTAACCCTAACGCGTGGATCAAAAGTGAGGTAAGTTATAGTAGATCAATGAGAAAAATGACAGACAAAATCACCAGTCATCAGTTTTACGCTAGATAAACGTTAGATAAACTAATACAGCGAGTTTAAAAAATATTTGAACCAAATAACAATCTGTTTTATTATTATAAAAAATAGCTTTGGCCATAGTTAATGAGCATGATAAACATTTGAAATAGACTGTTGAAACAGTAAAAACCCTACATTTACTACAGAATTAAAAGACGCAGGAAGAAAAATAGTCATATCCTCAAACTGACATTTGGCATGTGCTATTAACCTTATTAAAAACACATGATATCAATTACGTAAATTGACTACACAAATGAAATAAAATTTCCTCAATAACAGCCTTTTATGAAGAAAAAGCCAAACTATTTATCAAAAAAAGAAGTCAACTGGTAACTTGACTTACAAAGAAATTATAAGCAACTTCCGATACGGGTACGATATGTGCATCGGTTTAGGTTATCACATATCAGCAGAGCGAGACGGAATGGATGAGATAAATGTCAGAGTAATGTAAATAGTAACAGCACAATTGTTAGCGGAAATCATCAAGCAGAGATTTAAGAATGAATTTGCGCAATAAAATGTATGATTTCAAAACTCGAGACTTAAAGGAAAACAAAAAAGGGAGTGCATCTGTGCCTATTAGACCACAGGCCACAAAAATTTCACAATGGCTAGAAGTGATGTAGGGCGGTTAAAATATTGATGATCTCTAATAATAACTCACTGAGTGTAATTTTGGAGACAGAGCTAATGAGTTATATCTCTATAAAATATAATGCATGTCCTAACTGTTTCAACTGAATAACTAGTTTCTCTTGGTTAAAAACTACGATTATACTAATTTATATTTAACACTTACGAAACGCGGATCAAGGTACAATAACTATTATTTTGAGAGCAATATTTCGATCAACTTCCACTTGCATTGAGTGCGAAAGTCAGAAGTTGTATATTAAATCGGGACCACATACTAATTTTTAAATGCATTAGGCAGCTTCTGAGGGAGGCATAAAAAGTGTTTGGCGGTCGTAAAACGAATAACTAAATATACGTTAGAACGATGGATTCCAATTTTTCGTAAACGAATGATCTCAGTAACACTAAGCCATAAGGTTAGGATTTTCCAAGTTGCAAATCAAACAAAAGAACTCATGTTTTTACACTACCAGTATTTAAAACGATACATTATGATAAGGTTATTGCACATAATGGCTTACTTTCAAAAATGATGCGGTGACATTTTCTGGAATTAATCCTTCTGGTAATTCCCTGAGATACAACTTAAGAAGACTAGCAACAGAGAAAACGTCAACCGTACGATCTAAGTCTCCAGCTATGCTTGAAAATTCCCCTAAACGCCAGTAACTTCCATTTTCATTGACAACGGTACGCAAAATCTCAACTGTTCGAGAATTTCCATTTACACGAAAGATGCCTTCGCATTGCAATCCACCGTTATCTAATAAGAAATTGAATATATCAGAAACAACAATTGGAATTTCAGTCTTGTCGCGCTCTATAACATCTTGAAGTGGCGCACCAAATGTGAGAGTAGGATGTTTGTGTATAGATGAAGTTTTTCTGGGTACAGGGTTAATGCTCATTCTCTTCATTAACTGCTCAATCACCATGACTGTCTCCTGTCCTAAAAAAACATGAAACAAGTCTCTGATTATTCAACGTATCATTTTAGTTACAACAGAAAAATGTACGAGATTAATGGTGGGGTTTAGTAAGGCTGACAACGTCATTAATAATGAGTTTCACGTAAATTCAATGTACGCAAACAAACCTTCTTCAAAAATAATTAGAAAACCATTTCTTTACCAATATTCGTCTGTCCGACAAGATTTCACGGAATGATCAGCCAAAGAAACCATAGGCATCAAACGACAAGATACCTAATTGATGTTTAAAGTTATAAGCTGGACGACGACCAGCAACGAATACTTTAACGATAAAAACTTGACAAACTAAATCCTAAATAAGGTCAAAACCTGTAAATGATACACAATAACTTTTGAAGCATTCACTTGCAGTTTTTTCGTCACCTCAAACAAGTAGAATCTGCTGAAATGAAACAACCAAGGTATGATAATAATAGAATTACAAGTATATTATTATTATTAGCCTTCCACTCAATCCTCACTGGCTTTGAAACCATCAAGTTCAACCTGGGTACTTGTACGTATGAGGTAGAATAATTTAATCAGTCATTAGTGACACTAAATTAACAAAACTGTACTATCCATAGTCCTGATCAAACTTTAGACAATCAGTAACTTCCACGTATGCTTAATTCACTGGCCAATTAAACTTCTATCGAGATATGATTTTCGTAAGCGATCAGACTTACAATTTATCTCAGATCCATTTTTGAAACAACTTAAATCACATTCGAGAAATTACTAATACTTACAAATACAAGCTATCTTGACTGTACTGAATGAACTAACGGAAAACCTAAATCAAAAATATGAAAAGCAACGAAAAATACATATGAAAACAGTTCCCTAATACTTTGATTGAGAATTAGCTTCGGACAAGTGATTTTAAAAATAACCAACCGAAAAAACAACGCGGGAAAGAATTACTATGACCGAAAGGCAATAAACTATTACATGAATAAGTATTGAGTAACTCACATAATTATTATGAATTCAAACATGCGTACACCTCAAAAAGTCACAAAGTCCGCGGGATTGGTTAGTGTTGGTAAATCAATAAAAGAGATTAAAACAAACGAAAGAACTACGATCATTTCATAACTTTAGAAGCTGTTACCCAGTATTCGTGTGCGAACTCCATTAAAAATTTTAATAAGTATGAACTGTTAGTCACGATTACTATTCTGGCCGATATTCATTAGTAACCATAATCATTGATCATCTCTTCGCTTCAAACTAGAAAATTCACTACAGTTAACCAGTTCCTACTAGAAAAATCAGAAATCGTTTATGAGAAACTCAACGAACGCAACTGGCCTAATCATTGGAATTTCCAAGGTGGTAAATCAGTTAGTCCTGTATCCTTGATCAAGCATGACACTGTTACCTAATATTCTTCTTTAACATCTCACATCAAGTGGTTTGGGGTTTTACACAATGATTATTAAAGTTCACCACTTCGGTATCAATAGATCGTTGCTTAAAATAGCATTACCCCTGAAAAGCTTTCTAATGAACTGCTATCTGGGTTGTGATAGGCAAGTTCTGAATACAATGTGCTTGTTAAAAATAATAAGAATCCAACTTGTCGGTTTACGTATTATTGAACCATGCTGAATTGGATATGCGATTACATGAACTATGCCAGGAGCATCTCCGGGACTACTGCCGGTCTTATCCCTGGATAAAGGAGAAGGGTTAGGCAAAGGGCTACGGACCACATCCCATTAGAACACTAACTCGCTAAACACAGCTCTAACTCGAAACTTCAATTCAAAGCCGATGCCAGTTCTGACAACCTTGAATGTTTGAACATAGTACAAAACTGAGAGACTGATCCAAATTGCTGCTGAGGTGAAAAGATACACCCTGGTGGTGCTTGTAATCGGTAAAACACAGACGCAGGTTGGATAAACAGGAATAACTTCAGGAGAGCTGCTGTTATACTCCGGACCATGAAGAAGAAAATGCCCCACGCACGCACAAAGAGTTGCACTGGTGCCGTGTAAAGAAGATCCAAATGCACTTTCAGGATTGGAATCTCAGGGACCCAGTATCATGAAAGCATCTTTCAAAACAATGAACAACGAATATCACGAATATGACGGTGGAGCGATCACCTCAATCTACCCATCTCTGTGTGGCAGAACATTTTGTTTGCTTACGACTCCTTACGATATAGCAGGATGTAAATAATCAGTGATGTTTATGTTACTTTTCTTTGTTAAGCATGCCTCCGACTCATGTTCGTAACCTTGCACCGGTTTTAACTTCCTACCAAGAAATCCTATTACAAGCAGATCAGGACAATTATATTGAAAAAGAGCTCACTCATGACTACTTGAGCTACAGAGTGGAAAAAGAAAAAGAATAAGTAAAGTATCCCAAATCATCAGATCACGCAAACGGTGAGAGATTCGCGAACCTATGTGCCTTCAACAAACTGGTCATCTGTGGCACAATATTCTCACAAAAACACATACACATTACCTACATCAGTATCACCGGACCACACTACAAAGAACCAAACCGATCACATCTGCATCAATAAAAAGGATGATGGAGGACGTGAGGGGCAAAAAAGGAGTCTACATAGCTTCAGATCACCTCTTGGTATTGGCCAAAATGAAACCGAAACTCAGGAAGTACTGGACAACGGGCAGCACCACATAAGTTTAATAAGGCCTTTCTTCGGGATACTGGCAAACTCAACGAATTCAGCATAGCCCTTGGCAATAGGTTCCAGGCCTTGCACGATCTAGTCAATTGAGGGTAAACAAGCTTGGAGAACTAATAGACTGAGGTCAATGCGGCAATCACTTTAACATGTCACGGGGTTCTAGGCCTCAGGAAGTCCCACCACAAGGAATGGATCTCCGTTGGTACTCTTGTAAAATTCAAGAAAGCAGAAACAAGAAGGTAGAAAACAACATCAGACAAACAAGACCGGAGAGCTTCAAGGCACAAACTAAATACCCAGAAGAAAACAGCAAGTGAAGTGGATCATTAAAGCCGGCAAACGTAAATATGTGGATGATTTAGCGATGACGGCGGGGGGAGGCTGCCACAGAAGGAAGCATGAGAATATTGTGGGATGCTACAAAGAAGATCGCTGGAAACTATCGTAAGCCAGAACTACTAGTGAAAAGCAAGGAAGATAGAGTAATCAGCAATAATCAATCAGTCAGTCAATAGCAACGTACAACTTTGTACGTACACATGGGCATCAGTTCAAATTGCTGTACCACATAAGCACATAGACACGATTGTCAATTCAAATCTCATATTGGCATAGGTTGTACAAGCTTTAGCGTTGATTGAGATTAGGGTTCGGAGGAAGAGGTGATGAGGAATTCAGGATGTTAGGATTTGACAGAACAAAGAGAGTAGATGCACCTGAGGCCAATATTTTCTATACTATATCAGTTAGACTTATTTTTTGTGATTGTCATGAGAAGACTGGTATCGTTTTTTCCAAATTGAGACAGGTCAGATGAGTAACGTGCAGTTCCCGAATTCTACCTGAGACCAGCAACTTTGAATAACACCGAAACAGGTGAGTGGAGCACTTTGAGCATAAAACTGGAAGAGAAGGTTCATGACAGAGTGGGTTGGAGAGTGCTGTTCAGCAGCTTAGGCTAAACTGGGGGTAACAGGCGTAAGTGAGTAACTTGGTTGATTCTTCAACAGTTAGCACTCATCGTTCGTGGGCATATCATATGTCTCAACTATTCAACACGTAAGTAAATGTGATAAGATTTTTTGAAATGCCTACTTAGGCTCATTTGTTAGTCGGTTGGAGATTTTGCTTTAAAACGTTATCAAAAATTACGTGGAAAGCTCCCACAGTTATTCGTTTTAATCGTAAAATCTATAGCATTGTATGATGGTATTGGTCTCAGTTGGCATCATTGCGTTATGTTTTTGTAAATCCTGTTTGGTTCTAAAATCTTCGTGCCTAAAATATGCGGTTAGTAATAATTATTATAGCCGTCACAATTTTACTATTGTGATTTTTTTTACCTTGACTGATCATCTGAGAGGATGTTCTGATCACTTGCTGTGAACCATTGTAAACCAGAACGACTAGTGAAAAACAAGGAAGGCAAAGTAATCAGCAACATTGAAGAACAGCGAAACAGGTGGATAAAGCAGTTTCAGGAAATCTTGAGTCGAACAGTTTCACTGAACCCACCCAACATCGAAGCAGCATCCACGGACTTCTCAATCAATGTTGGCCCACCAACAGTTGGAGAGATCAACATGTCCACCACACAAATCGAGAGTGGCAAAGCAGCGGGACCAGACAACATACCGGCTGAGGCTATCAAAACAGACGTGGCAGCAACAGTAAAGATGCTCCACATTCCCTGCAACAAGATTTGGGATGAAGAACAAGTACCAACAAACTGGAAAGAAGAATACCTGATCAAGATACCAAAAAAGGGCGATCTCAGCAAGTGTGAGAACTACAGAGGCACCCCTCTTTTCTCAGTACAAGGCAAGGTCTTCAGCAGAGTATTGTTAAACAAAATGAAGGACTTCGTAGATGCTGGACTTCGACATTAAGAAGAACCTTTGCATATCTAGGCAGCATCATCGACAAGTAATGTGGATCTGATTCAGATGTGAAGGCGCGGATCGGGAAAGAAAGCGATGAAACAACTCTCAGCAAACATCAAAGTCAGAATTTTCAATACGAATGTCAAGACAATTCCACTGTATGGAGCGGAAACTTGGAGAACCATGAAAGCCATCATCCAGAATATTCAAGTATTCATTAACAGTTGACTGTGTAAAATACTTCAGATCCGTTGGCCAGACACTATCACCACCAACCGATTGCGGCTGAGAACAAATCAAATTCCAGTGGAGGAGAAAATTAGGAGGAAGCCCTGGAGTTGTATAGGACACATTGCGGAAGGCACGTGACAGCATTACAAAACAAGTCTTCACTTGGGACACTCAAGACAAAAGAATACAATAATTGGAGACAAACATGATTAGAATGGACACCCATTGGATAGAACTGGAAGAGAAGGTTCAGGACAGAGTGGGTTGGAGAGTGCTGTTCAGCAGCTTAGGCTAAACTGGGGGTAACAGGCGTAAGTGAGTAACTTGGTTGATTCTTCAACAGTTAGCACTCATCGTTCGTGGGCATATCATATGTCTCAACTATTCAACACGTAAGTAAATGTGATAAGATTTTTTAAAATGCCACTTAGTCTCATATGATAGTCGGTTAGAGTTTTTTATTTTAAAATATTACAAATTACGTGAAAAGCCCCCACAGTTATTCGTTTTAATCGTAAAATCTATAGCATTGTATGATGGTATTGGTCTCAGTTGGCATCATTGCGTTTTGTTTTTGTAAATCCTGTTTGGTTCTAAAATCTTCGTGCCTAAAATATGCGGTTAGTAATAATTATTATAGCCGTCACAATTTTACTATTGTGATTTTTTTTACCTTGACTGATCATCTGAGAGGATGTTCTGAGAAAGTTCACGATCCAAGTTCAGATAGCTTAAGTCGATTTTCTTCTAGTATTGAGTATCGAATGACTAGAATCTGCGAACAGAACGCATAGTATCAGCACATTCTTTTGATACACTCAAACGGACATAGGATCTTCACAATACTTTAAATTGTGTGGATTGACGTAGGACGATTGACTCATTCCTACCACTAAAGACTGAAGTATGAAACTTCTATGCGTTTCAGCAACACTGAAATATATTTTTCCAAAGTAATGACAATTGTTAATGATTATGTAAGGTGATCTTTAAACAGTACTTCCAAAGTGCATTATCTTAGTAGTTTCCACATTTTTCGATGACAGTATTGCAAAACAGCTGTAAAAAATCGTGTAGTTTTTGAAACGATCATATATGTTATTAGTTTATTCTCTCCTTAGAGATTTCCGGAGAGTGTCTTTAAAAGCATACTGGATAGTTAAAAAGGTTAGTATAACAAATCAAAATTACTTGTGAATTTCTTCACACATTCTTCTTTCTTTTAGATTCAGGTAAAAAGCTGTTGATTTGACTGCCGTTCTGCAACCATGAGGATTCTATTATTAATATTCCGAATGTATGCTCTTCACCCTGCATTTCCTCGTATCCTTGACGTTGTCTGAAAATTCAAAACCATGACACGCATAACTAGTGTCTAGAAAGAATATTCTAGTAGATTCCTCTCATAAACAGATCGGTAGTCTTTTGAGCTGTATGTATTTTGGAATTTTGACATTTGCACCAGGAAAAATTTATTTTGTAACTCATATTTAGTTTCTAAGCGTCACAGGAGTATGCAAAATGCGTATTCTAATGGCTTGAAATGAAACGCAAACTATTACAAGCCCATTTTTTCGATCATTGTTTTGGGTTTTTTCTACTAGGAGAATCTTAGATTTGTTAGTGATGCCGTAATTCTTTGAAGTTCTTTGATATGTAATTTTCCCCCATTTCACACTAATAAGGTTATATTTTGCGTCTTTTTTAGCTTAAAAACTATCTCCTTATCAATTCATGCTAACATCTAAGCCGGTGAATATTTTTGACAATTCAAATGAGTCGTGTCCTAAGATCTAGTATCAGGGAAAACAAAACAGAGCAAGTTACTACTCGAGAACAGCGGAGTAAGAGAGTTTTCTCTCTAATCCCCTCAGCGTCTTTCAACTCAACAGAAACCCCTAAACGTCGTCTCACACAGCGAAAACGACCGGATCCCCTCGATTCTTGTAAAAAAGTAACATCTCTCGGTTGCGAATCATCAACCGTAAAAGACCAAGTAAATGTGTTGAACAAGCCAAATACTCTTCTTGAAACTCACTCATCTGTGGTCCATGACTCACGTACACAATGTGTCAATGTCTCGACTAACTGTTCAAGTCAATCGAAAGAATCTAATGCACTGATTGTTGGAAGAGCAAATGAGATCAGTCGTTTGACATCCCTAATTCAGTCTTATATAGACACAAGGAAAAGTGCTAGTTTTTATGTCAGTGGAGCTCCGGGAACTGGAAAAACAGCAGTCATTTTACATGTTGTCCAGAATTTTAAAACCTTTGAGAAATGTAGTGCTGCTGTGATTAATTGTATGCAATTAACGTCATGTGCAGATATATTTGGACGAATATCTGTTGTTTTAGAGGCTAACAATGGCAAGGAAAATAGTTCTATCAGCGACGCTAATTCATTGGAATGCTTTTTGAATAAACGATCACCAAAACAAACCATTATCCTAGTTTTAGATGAAGTGGATCAGCTATCTACTCGTAGTCAAGAATTACTTTACAGGTGCTTATATTTCCTTTAACTGTAATGACATTTCATTGGTTTATGATCAGTCTTCTATTACATTAATCTTATATTAATGTAAACAGGCAAAAGTTAGATTTCATAGTGTCAGTTATAACGCATAACTCCGTACGTACGGTTAGAGAGGTTGCTGTAAAACATCTTTTATCTTATCTGCACTGCAATCAGTGGAAGCGTAGACAGGTACAACGAATAGGCAATCGTGAGTGTCCCTATCTTCACGAGTCCTTACTGTCCCGTTTAGTATAATTGTGGATGGGCGACTCTACCAGGAAGCAGCGGCAGGGCTTCGAGACACAAGAAGCTTAAACCGAGCCGATTCTCTATCTCCACAAGGTGAGATCAAATTAATGATTTTACTCGGGTCTTGTATGAGCGTTTCGGACACGCAACACACATCAATGACACAGGATTCCAGAGTCGTGACTGATGAAGCCTGTCGCCCTATTCGACACATGATTCGAACATTAAAAGCTCCGATATGTATTTTAGAGCGGGGTTTCAGGGAGACCAGGAATAACGTTTCGTGAGCTCGAGACGTTTGCCTCAACAGTTCGAAGTGACACAGGAACGATAGAAGAGTTGGTTGTGGAGATCTTATCTTCATAGCAGTTTTAGTTTTTATTTCTAGTAGACTGACAAATTGACAAGCCTGTAGATGCTGATCAACTACTGTCAATTACAAGGAACTCAAACACCGTGTATCATTGTGAGTATCTTCTTATTTACGTATTAACAGTTTAACTTATTTTTATTTCCCCAATTCATTAACATCCAAACACCTTGCCTGCTTACCAACTTATCGCTTTACTCATTAATTTTTAACATTATTTCAACTCTTTTTTTCTCCTTCTCCTCGTTCCAGCTCCCTGTCCTTCCTATTTCCAAACTACCTATTGACTGACTCATCTTACAAATCATACCATTCGTTTACTTAAAATCAGTGTGATATGCTTCGTGGATATTTTCTCTGGCGAAGTTATCTGGATGGCTTGTAATATGGAGCTAGTAGAGAAAGTGAATTCCGATAAGGTTAACAAAAAAAAAATTAGAGTAGACTAGAGACCATTATTTACAATCAACCATTAAACGTAAGAGAGCCTAACATCAAAAAAGGAGGGAGGGTGGAGTTTCTGACCAGCATTCATGACGGTGGGGCGATAACCTCAATCTACCCATGTCTGTGTGGCAGAACATTTTGTTTGCTTACGGCTCCTTACGATATAGCAGGATGTAACAAATCAGTGATATTGATGTTACTTTTCCTAGTTAACCTCGTCTACAACCCATGTCTGTAACCTTGCACTGGTTTTTACTTCCTACCGAGAAATCCTATTACAAGCTGGTCTGGATAACTATACTAAAAAAGAGCTCATTCATAATTTCTTGAGCTGCAGAGTTAAAAATAAAAGAATATATAAAACAAAAAATTATATCACTGAGCCTCTTTATTATATTTTGTAAATCAACATTATTACTAACAACTTGGTTCTTCTGAATTTCCTCTATTCTTTCGACTAACTTCCCAATAGTTATCTCACCAATAATTTGTCTTCATTAACCTACATAAGTGCAGGTGTACAGTAATGATATTAAAAAAGTCTGAGTAAACATACCTTTGTTTTATCTATAAACGTATTTTCTGTTCCGCTCCTCGTCCCGTCTTCTTTATTCCTCTTTTTTCAGAACCTTATTCCACTCCTCATATATTAGTCTGGATATTTGCAGTAGACTTGGTTACCCTACCCAAGAACATGTAAAATCATTAGCTGATGAATATCAACCATACCTTTGTACATTTACCGCATCAATTCTTGTTATATGCAAACCTATCTCTACCATGAATCGTTTCTCAGTCCATAAGATGATTGTCGTAACGCAACCTTCGTAACTTGCGCCAATTATTCGCATTGAACATTCCATCTTTAAGAAAACAATGAATCTTGTGAAATGTTTCAGTAAATGTATACCGTTTTAAAAGAAATATGTTGTTAATCTTAACATTTTGATCTTGCCTGTAAATTGGCATGTCTCTTGTAACATGTTTGTTTGTTATTTGAGAGAGTTATTAAGAGTTGTAGAAAGGATTTGATTGTGACCGATTTGGTCTCGTGTGTTTTTACGGGTATGAGGGTGGATGTTACTTCCCGGCTGCCAAAACCTTGGAAGCGCTCTGAACTTCGGAAGCGGCATCGGCCTCGCGACTACCGAAGGAACTCGGCTTTCATCATGAGACGTCATAACTCTTCTAAATGAAGACCCTCTAACTCCCAGAGCAGAATTTAAATGATTTGAATAGTTTTTTTGTTAGCGTTTATTTAGCGAGTTTTTCCACCAGATAGAGTCTCCAACTTGCTTGCTCAACCATCCTCTACCCAGGTTTGGGAGAGGCAGTAGCCACAGAGGTGCTATTGGCGGAGTTATTTCAGCTAGCACAGTTATTCTACAGTCCCAAATCAGCCACTCGTGATGTAGTACCTAATTTATCGTGACGTGGAGTGGTTGATTGTTTTTTGTCCTATTAGTTTTCAACTATCCATATATTCCAGTGTGTCGTATTATTTACTTCTTATTTATTGTTACACTTCCATAAGTCTTTTTTTGAGTGCACTGCCTTTTCTTGTTTCTTTTTCTTGATGATTTTCATTTTGTCACTGTCAATCACGGCTTGTTTGTCGTGCTTCATATGTCGTTTCCTTTAAATGAAGTTTTCAGTTAGCTCAGTTTTTCCATTCCTAGGATAAATAAGCATTTTGTGTACGGGACTTCTTTCCCAACTTGTAAGCATATATGTTTGTTCTTGTGGTTAAATCTTTCTTACGTACTTAATTTTGAGACTCGTATATTTAGTGGTTAACTGAAACTTTAGTTTATCACTAAAAAGTTTGATTCGAAATTCTGTTAAACACATCTAAGGATACTTTTTATTTTTTAAAAATCAAAAGTTCTGATAAATTCGTATGTTTTCATGTTTAGTTTACGCATTTTGTCTTCCCCAATATCACCGTCATTAAACATCTGCGTTTAATAACTTACATTTTAGAATTTTTGAATGGCCATCAAAACTTACTTGTCATATCATTGTTATTGGAGTGGCGAATGCGTTGGACTTACCAGAACGTCTATTGCCCCGTTTGAAATCAAAAGCTCACAAACCTATTCACATTATATTTCCACCATATTCACAATCTGAGCTTGCTGAAATTGTTCAAGCACATTTATCTAAGTCATCAAGTATTGGGTCATGTGTGCAACCACTGGCTATACAGTTATGTTCTAGAAAAGTGAGCTATCTGATGTGCGTGATATTTAAGATTCTTTGTTTTTAAATCGTTTTTTTTAATTTGACTTTCAATTTCATGACTTTCATTCGTCATGAGGAGTGGTTTTCACTTGGTCACACCCGAAGTCATACATTTCTTCGAAAGCTGTATAATGTAATAGTCGACAGTTTTATTTCAAATTTTCTACGGTTATAATGTGGTATCTACAGTATATAAAAAATTTTTATGCTGTTTGTGGTGGGAGTGCATACTGACTGTAAGCATTGTGTTAAAACCAAACTTTTATTAAGGTTTCGATTTCCAGCGTTTATCATTTCCTTCTTAGTTTATGAGTAAAACTTTCGAACTTCATATTATTCCACATTTTATGCTTCACCTCTAAGTTGGCTATCTATTTCAGCTGTGAAATTAGTGGTTTTTTGTTAAGTGTATAAAATGAGCTACGAATCCGTATAACTGCAAGTATCAAAAGGATTAAAGGCAGTATATTTAAGAGAGGAAATAGCGATTTCCTATGTTAAGAATATTTAACATATATTTCGTTGTTCAATAGTTCAGAGCCATTTGTATGTTCGAACCCCACATAACCTACCAATGTTTGAATAGCCACTTAATGTTGTTAATCAGCAATGTATGTCAACTACAATCTGGTACGTTAGTTTTAATACTACCCTACTTATTGTCCTACTGATAGTGATGTTACCTGTATAATTGTTATCAAGTTTAAAAAGTTCTCATTTTCATTCCAACTGTTCTTGATTGTCTATTTCCCAGTTTTAACGAGCGATGGGCAGGCGATTTGTTATCGCCTTTCTGTTCTTTCTCATTAGCTTTGGTTCCCAGTCGGAAGTTTGAAGCGAATTCTTTCCTGCCTCGCCAGGATTATGAAATCTGTATATCAGCTTGATCATGATCGCTTATTGCAGACCCATTTTAGATGCAACAGTTGAGTGATCCGTGTTGTACACATCACTCGAAATCGATTATCCAGTTTTATCCTAATTCTGTTGATTTGAACAGTGATTTCGACTCGTCAATAAATTTGAAGCTATGCCTCTAATAGAGTTCCGAGCTTTCATGGGGTAAATGCTGGATGTAAGTACGCTATTACCATCAAAATAATGATAATTTATTCTCAAATAACAGCTTGTTACTAGCCGCTTGCCAATTTACAGGAAAGAACAAAAATTAAAACTTCCAACATTTTTTTGTAAGAGGTCGTTCAGTTACTCAAATATTCCATAAGTTACATTGGCCTCATACAGATGATTAAAATTCTTCACATAAAATTATCGATAGTGCTTCAAACTGTGCTATGTACACAGCGACAGTTGGCGCCAATTACGACGGTTACGTTACGACAATCCACTGACTGTTGAGAGCCAATGAAGGGTATATCCAAGTCTGCATGTAACAAGAATTGATTCAGTTAGTGTGCAAAGATCTTATTGATATTCGTCAGATAATAAATTTACAGATTTCGTGGTATGGTGACCAGGTCCTCGACAAATATCCAGACTAATATTTAAGGATTAGAATAAGCTGCTGAAAAAGAGAAATTAAGAGAGAATGGTGGGAAGCAGAACAGAAAATATTCTTGTTTAAAGCTGAATCATGACTCAGCAGATAATATTTCTAGATAAAACAAAGGTATGATTACTCACATCTTTTTTATATTAGAATACTAACCGTACGCCTACAATTCAGAAGATTAATGAAGATAAGCCATCAGTAAGATAACCAGTGGGCAATGAGTCGTACGAATGGAGGAAATTCAGAAGAACTAAGTTGTTGGGAATAATACTGATTTACAGAATGTAACAGTGAACAACGGTAATCTGATGCTCTAGTGGTATAGTATTTAGATTGAGGTTATCGCTTTACGGTCATGAAGACTGACTAGACTAACTTGCTTTTACTGGTGGATTTCAAATAATGCCTCCAATGACATAGTTCTATTTGGTGAAGATGCTGAAGAAATGCAGAGTCTTCTGACCACCTTAAGAAAAGATGCAATCATGTTCGGATGCGATTCTCCCTCTCGAAATGCAAAATGTTGCCTCAGGATTGGTTTGCAGCGGCAGCTGGAGTAGTGATAGGGTGAAGCAGTTGAGCTTGTTGGTCGCCTCGCTTATCTTGGGAGTCTCATCAGTGCTGATGGCCTGGTGACTGACGAAATCTCAGCACGGATACAAAAGGCTCGATTGGCTTTTGTCAACTTGCGTCATTCATGGCGTAGGCGAGATATCCTTCTTTTAACCAAAAGAGGAGTCTACTGTGCAACAATTCACCCTGTCCTACTTTATGGCTGTAAAATATGGCCAGTAAGAATAGAAGATAATTCGTAGGTTTTGTTTTCTTTTTAAGTTTATTTCACCAGTTTGCACTTCTTGAATAATATCTTCCAACCCTTATCTCCCTTACTTGCTAATGCTTGTAATATCTCTACCACTATAGGATTTGAACTGACAGTTGCGTCTCTGTGCCGATGCGGTATGGCAACCTAAACTTATGTACTCATGCACTAAGTTCTACATTGTAACTGACTGACCGCCTTTTTTTATGCATACCAGCCGAAATTAACTTTAAAGTTGTTTCACTTATTGAGACAATTTATTATTAAACATTCATGAACATAAAAGATATTTGTAGACTTCAAAAGTTATTACATTACAAATCTACTTGTCAGGGATTTTATAAGAAGTATAAAAATTATGACTTTATACCAGTAATAAAAACAATAAAACAGCGTACAGTCGAATAAAGATACGAACATCATAGAAAAAGTTATACAAAATAAGTGGAGATTCTATCTGTTCAACAGGAAAATAAATGAATAGATGTCAGAAAATTATAAGGAAATACAAAACTAATTTTCCAGTTTTATGGCCATTATTGATGACAGGAGTAAATCATCCACCAGAGCCTGCTGAACACCACAATCGTCTAAACGTAATCGAATACGTCTTAAACGTGCTGGTGTACCCAATGTAGCTTTAATCGAATAACGCGGACCAGCAAGTTGAATAAATCCTCGAGAATCAAGCAAATCACATACAGCAGAGAGTTCAGATTCACTTAAACTTGTAATTTGTTTTTTCTTACATATAAGAATGTATGTATCATAAAGTAGGCTAAACGATAATTCACGTAGACCTTTTTGTTTTCTTAACAGAAGACAGCTAGCCAATATAAGTTTATGATGCAATGGTACTTCAGAGCAATTGGTAGTAAATGTATCAACTCCATTGAACGATTTAACAGGAAGAGGAGAATCAACCTGATAAGAACGAAGAAAATATTAAATCAAATAATCCTGCGACATAACACGACAATATAAATGTTAAATGATACGGAAAAGTGAAAAATAAATACTAAAGTGAACCGATAATCATACAAATCTCAAAGTCATATTTATTTCAAGTCTGAGTTTCATCGATTAATAAGATGCATTGCTATCAATAAGCTAAATGATACGAAGTGAAGAACATTATAATTATCAAAAGGAACGAAGCTCTCAAATCATTAGTATTTACAAATGAGATATAAGAAAATTCAGACAATTGTGGTACGTCACTGTTGTTATTATTTACTTATGGTATGGCAACCTGAACTGATGTACGTACGAACGAAGTTATAGGTTGTGCCAGACTGACAAACAAAATTATTTGTACTGAAAACGATGAAATCTGCAACACCGCCAAATGATAATCGCTTCAACATGGATGACAGTCACCTTCTATGAGAAACAAACTCAGTATATGAAAACAAGCAGAAATATGTCAACTAAACGAACTGACTTCAGTCACTCAGTCAGCTACAACGCATAAATCCGTACGTATAAATATATATTCTAGATGCTATACCGCATCATAACAGAGGCGCGAGAGTCAATTCCGATCCCATGGTGGTAGAGATAGTACAAGCATTAGCAAGTAAGGGAGATTAGGGTTGGAAGATATTATTCAAGAAGTGAAATAAAATTAAAAAGAAAACGATAAAGATGAGAAATTGGGAAGGTAAAGATATGAAAGAACACAGAGAATGGATGCACCTGCGTCATTGCAAACGGTTTCGAGCCATGTCATTCAAAATCTCTAACCACCGATTACTATCGTCTCGTGAGCCCCAACCAGGTAGCCTACATTTACCAACATGACTCAATCCACTTGTCAGTGATTTCATGGATTTTTGCCATGTTTTGTTCTGGCAGCTCCTACCTTACTTCCAACCTACTCACTCCTACACAGAAAAACATAGCTCCACGAAGCAGTCATGGGTTGTACATTCGCAACACATGCCCAAAAAACCTCAACCGATGAACTTTCAGTACTTCATCTAATGATCTGCAATCCTTACCTGGTACCCGTTTCCCAAAGACAGCATTGCTTACTCGGTTATCCGAGAAAACGCGAGCAATACTTCTAAGACATTCATGATCGAAAACCAGTAACCTACGAAATATCTTCTATTCTTACTGGCCATATTTTACAGCCATAAAGTAGGACAGGGTGAATTGTTGCACAGTAGACTCCTCCTTTGGTTAAAAGAAGGATATCTCGCCTACGCCATGAATGACGCAAGTTGACAAAAGCCAATCGAGCCTTTTGTATCCGTGCTGAGATTTCGTCAGTCACCAGGCCATCAGCACTGATGAGACTCCCAAGATAAGCGAGGCGACCAACAAGCTCAACTGCTTCACACCCTATCACTACTCCAGCTGCCGCTGCAAACCAATCCTGAGGCAACATTTTGCATTTCGAGAGGGATGCTGCGATGGTTAGAGACTTTGAACGACATGGCTCAGAATCGTTTGTGATGATGCAGGTGCATCCACTCCTTGTGTTCGCTCTAATTCTGACCTTCTGAATTCCTTATAATCTCTATCTTTAACCTTCTAAATTTTTCTCACTAAATAATACTTCTCGAATCACATGTGCGTTTCGGACACGCAACACACACCAATGACACAGGATTCCAGAGTCGTGACTGATGAAGCCTGTCGCCCTATTCGACACATGAGTCGAACATTAAAAGCTCCGATATGTATTTTAGAGCGGGGTTTCAGGGAGACCAGGAATAACGTTTCGTGAGCTCGAGACGTTTGCCTCAACAGTTCGAAGTGACACAGGAACGAAAGAAGAGTTGGTTGTGGAGATGAGAGAGTTATTAAGAGTTGTAGAAAGGATTTGATTGTGACCGATTTGGTCTCGTGTGTTTTTACGGGTATGAGGGTGGATGTTACTTCCCGGCTGCCAAAAGTTGGGAAGCGCTCTGAACTTCGGAAGCGGCATCGGCCTCGCGACTTCCGAAGGAACTCGGCTTTTATTATGAGACGTCATGACTCTTCTAAATGAAGACCCTCTAACTCCCAGAGCAGAATTTAAATGGTTTGTATTATCCTTTATTTTGAAAACTAATGCCCTGAAAAACTAAATACACTTCGGATCTAATCGTGAGTGCACCTATACCAAGTTTGTAACAGCTAAAGTTACTAGCACCTCTGCCATTATTATATTCTGGTTCAAAGAAATAATTTAATTATATCAATTACAGCACCATGTATTCATATTTTTCAGATTGAGTGAGGTAAACAAGTACATTTAATTGCCTTTGGTTTTCAGAAGCTGCACGGAAGCTTATGAAAAGCTTTTATATCAGTTAACTGAACTTAGTGTTAGCTATGAACTTTTAACTTTATTTTAGTCAGTTTCGTCATAGACGAAGAGAACGGGAACTCGTTGTTAACTCCCTTAGTAACGACCTTTCATACAGAAAATTTACAAATGGTTTACGCTATGTATATGACTCTGATATGAGGATGTACAAACAAAACTTATTGTTTGTGCGTTTTTACGAAAACAGAAATTTTAACATAAGTAAAATACTCAATTAAAACGAAATGCTGCTGGATTGGTCTAAGCTGATGCTTGTATTACCAAAAGAATAAAAAGATTCGACGCATCAACAAACAAAGCTGCATCAACTCGGTCAGTGACCAACGAAACTCGGGGATAGATATAGAATATTTTAATACAAGTAAAAAAAACTCTATTTAGCCGTTGCATGAATAAAATCTAATGGCCAAGTTTAGGATTCAGTAGTCTGTCATGTTTAGGCATTAAACGTCACCGGTGAGATCATACAATAACTTTACCGCTTTGACATTAACGCTCAACAGTAACTTGAGAGTAGGCGATTTATTTTGTCCGAAACATTACCTAGTAAGTGTTATTGTATTATATTGTTCCCTAATAAATAAACAAATAAAAAGTAAACGCTACCACTTATATTTTTTAAAACAACGTAAATGACAATCCGTCCTATGTATCCTCATATTTTCTACGAACTCAGAATAGTTTTAATAATAATCATTACAGAACTACAGTACTCACCTGAGACTCCTTCAGAGCTCTACTTATGTGTTGGATGGAGAGCGTTATGGGCGAATCGACCACCGCCTTCGGAGGAATGAATGTGTCAGATATATTTGTTTTTCGTGCATCTTGATGGGCCAAATCAATCGCCCTGCGACATATATCTAAAGCAGTACGCGCATCCCCTGTGGAAGCAGCAATCTAAATTAAACATGCTGATAACATTAATACATGTTCGTGAAGAGAAATAAACGGAAAGCTATAAATGCGTCGAGGTTTAAAATCCGTTGTCCCTTTCTTAAATACAGTGACAAATGTCTTGAACAAATATTTGAGATTAAATCTTACTAATTTCTCTAGGTAATGAATTAATTCAGATATCAAACAATTCTTTCAAATACAGTCTTTAGAAACAGTTTTATTCCAATATATTTCACTGAACCATATTTTGCTACAAACTTCTTAGATTGCTAAATGGCACATTTGTAATAAAAAAAGACAACCAGTAAGCTGGTAATCTCCCTCGAGTAATGAATTAGTGTAGGGGGTATATAATCTTCAATCAAGGAATTTCAAGGATGTACATAACTACTGATCAGATATATTTAGAATAGTTGGAATGAAAATGAGAACTTTTTAAACTTGATAACAATTATACAGGTAACATCACTATCAGTAGGACAATAAGTAGGGTAGTATTAAAACTAACGTACCAGATTGTAGTTGACATACATTGCTGATTAACAACATTAAGTGGCTATTCAAGCATTGGTAGGTTATGTGGGATTCGAACATACAAATGGCACTGAACTATTGAACAACGAAATATATGTTAAATATTCTTAACATAGGAAATCGCTATTTTCTCTCTTAAATATACTGCCTTTAACCCTTTTGATACTTGCAGTTATACGGACTCGCAGCTCATTTTATACACTTAACAAAAAGCCACTAATTTCACAACTGAAATAGATAGCCAACTTAGAGGTGAAGCATAAAATGTAGAATACTATGAAGTTCGAAAGTTTTACTCATAAACTAAGAAGGAAATGATAAACGCTGGAAATCGAAATCTTAATAAAAGTTTGGTTTTAACACAATGCTTACAGTCAGTATGCACTCCCACCACAAACAGAATAAAAATTTTTTATATACTGTAGATACCTAATTATAACCGTAGAAAATTTGAAATAAAACTGTCGACTATTACATCATACAACTTTCGAAGAAATGTATGACTTCGGGTGTAACCAAGTGAAAACCACTCCTCATGACGAATGATGTCTTATTGAAAGTCAAATTTAAAAAAACGATTTACAATCAAAGAATCTTAAATATCACGCACATCAGATAGCTCACTTTTCTAGAACATAACTGTATAGCCAGTGGTTGCACACATGATCCAATACTTGATGACTTAGATAAATGTGCTTGAACAATTTCAGCAAGCTCAGATTGTGAATATGGTGGAAATATAATGTGAATAGGTTTGTGAGCTTTTGATTTCAAACGGGGCAATAGACGTTCTGGTAAGTCCAACGCATTCGCCACTCCAATAACAATTATATGACAAGTAAGTTTTGATGGCCATTCAAAAATTCTAAAATGTAAGTTATTAAACGCAGATTTTTAATGATATTGGGGAACACAAAATGCGTAAACTAAACGTGAAAACATACGAATTTATCAGAACTCTTGATTTTTAAAAAATAAAAAGTATCCTTAGATGTGTTTAACAGAATTTCGAATCAAAATTTTTAGTGATAAACTAAAGTTTCCGTTAAGCACTAAATATACGAGTCTCAAAATTAAGTACGTAAGAAAGATTTAACCACAAGAACAAACATATATGCTTACAAGTTGGGAAAGAAGTCCCGTACACAAAATGCTTATTTATCCTAGGAATGGAAAAACTGAGCTAACTGAAAACTTCATTTAAAGGAAACGACATATGAAGTACAACAAACAAGCCGTGATTGACAGTGACAAAATGAAAATCATCAAGAAAAAGAAACAAGAAAAGGCAGTGCACTCAAAAAAGACTTATCGAAGTGTAACAATAAATAAGAAGTAAATAATACGACACACTGGAATATATGGATAGTTGAAAACTAATAGGACAAAAAAACAATCAACCACTCCACGTCACGATAAATTAGGTACTACATCACGAGTGGCTGATTTGGGACTGTAGAATAACTGTGCTAGCTGAAATAACTCCGCCAATAGCACCTCTGTGGCTACTGCCTCTCCCAAACCTGGGTAGAGGATGGTTGAGCAAGCAAGTTGGAGACTCTATCTGGTGGAAAAACTCGCTAAATAAACGCTAACAAAAAAACTATTCAAATCATTTAAATTCTGCTCTGGGAGTTAGAGGGTCTTCATTTAGAAGAGTTATGACGTCTCATGATGAAAGCCGAGTTCCTTCGGTAGTCGCGAGGCCGATGCCGCTTCCGAAGTTCAGAGCGCTTCCAAACTTTTGGCAGCCGGGAAGTAACATCCACCCTCATACCCGTAAAAACACACGAGACCAAATCGGTCACAATCAAATCCTTTCTACAACTCTTAATAACTCTCTCATCTCCACAACCAACTCTTCTTTCGTTCCTGTGTCACTTCGAACTGTTGAGGCAAACGTCTCGAGCTCACGAAACGTTATTCCTGGTCTCCCTGAAACCCCGCTCTAAAATACATATCGGAGCTTTTAATGTTCGAATCATGTGTCGAATAGGGCGACAGGCTTCATCAGTCACGACTCTGGAATCCTGTGTCATTGGTGTGTGTTGCGTGTCCGAAACGCTCATACAAGACCCGAGTAAAATCATTAATTTGATCTCACCTTGTGGAGATAGAGAATCGGCTCGGTTTACGCTTCTTGTGTCTCGAAGCCCTGCCGCTGCTTCCTGGTAGAGTCGCCCATCCACAATTATACTAAACGGGACAGTAAGGACTCGTGAAGATAGGGACACTCACAATTGCCTATTCGTTGTACCTGTCTACGCTTCCACTGATTGCAGTGCAGATAAGATAAAAGATGTTTTACAGCAACCTCTCTAACCGTACGTACGGAGTTATGCGTTATAACTGACACTATGAAATCTAACTTTTGCCTGTTTACATTAATATAAGATTAATGTAATAGAAGACTGATCATAAACCAATGAAATGTCATTACAGTTAAAGGAAATATAAGCACCTGTAAAGTAATTCTTGACTACGAGTAGATAGCTGATCCACTTCATCTAAAACTAGGATAATGGTTTGTTTTGGTGATCGTTTATTCAAAAAGCATTCCAATGAATTAGCGTCGCTGATAGAACTATTTTCCTTGCCATTGTTAGCCTCTAAAACAACAGATATTCGTCCAAATATATCTGCACATGACGTTAATTGCATACAATTAATCACAGCAGCACTACATTTCTCAAAGGTTTTAAAATTCTGGACAACATGTAAAATGACTGCTGTTTTTCCAGTTCCCGGAGCTCCACTAACATAAAAACTAGCACTTTTCCTTGTGTCTATATAAGACTGAATTAGGGATGTCAAACGACTGATCTCATTTGCTCTTCCAACAATCAGTGCATTAGATTCTTTCGATTGACTTGAACAGTTAGTCGAGACATTGACCCCACATTGTGGACGTGAGTCATGGACCACAGATGAGTGAGTTTCAAGAAGAGTATTTGGTTTGTTCAACACATTTACTTGGTCTTTTACGGTTGATGATTCGCAACCGAGAGATGTTACTTTTTTACAAGAATCGAGGGGATCCGGTCGTTTTCGCTGTGTGAGACGACGTTTAGGAGTTTCTATTGAGTTGAAAGACGCTGAGGGGATTAGAGAGAAAACTCTCTTACTCCGCTGCTCTCGAGGAGTAACTTGCTCTGTTTTGTTTTCCCTGATACTAGATCTTAGGACACGACTCATTTGAATTGTCAAAAATATTCACCGGCTTAGATGTTAGCATGAATTGATACAGAGATAGTTTTTAAGCTAAAAAAAAAGACGCAAAATATAACCTTATTAGTCTGAAATGGGGGAACTTAAAAGAATTACGGCATCACTAATAAATCTAAGATTCTCCTAGTATAAAAAACCCAAAACAATGATCGAAAAAATGGGCTTGTAATAGTTTGCGTTTCATTTCAAGCCATTAGAATACGCATTTTGCATACTCCTGTGACGCTTAGAAACTAAATATGAGTTACAAAATAAATTTTTCCTGGTGCAAATGTCAAAATTCCAAAATACATACAGCTCAAAAGACTACCGATCTGTTTATGAGAGGAATGAGGAATATTCTTTCTAGACACTAGTTATGCATGTCATGGTTTTGAATTTTCAGACAACGTCAAGGATACGAGGAAATGCAGGGTGAAGAGCATACATTCGGAATATTAATAATAGAATCCTCATGGTTGCAGGACGGCAGTCAAATCAGCAGCTTTTTACCTGAATCTAAAAGAAAGAAGAATGTGTGAAGAAATTCACAAGTAATTTTGATTTGTTATACTAACCTTTTTAACTATCCAGTATGCTTTTAAAGACACTCTCCGGAAGTCTCTAAGGAGCGAATAAACTAATAACATATATGATCGTTTCAAAAACTACACGATTTTCTACAGCTGTTTTGCAATACTGTCATCGAAAAATGTGGAAACTACTAAGATAATGCACTTTGGAAGTACTGTTTAAAGATCACCTTACATAATCATTAACAATTGTCATTACTTTGGAAAAATATATTTCAGTGTTGCTAAAACGCATAGAAGTTTCATACTTCAGTCTTTAGTGGTAGGAACAAGTCAATCGACCTACGTCAATCCACGCAATTTAAATTATTGTGAAGATCCTATGTCCGTTTGAGTGTTTAAAAAGAATGTGCTGATACTATGCGTTCTGTTCGCAGATTCTAGTCATTCGATACTCAATACTAGAAGAAAATCGACTTAAGCTATCTGAACTTGGGTCGTGAACTTTCTCAGAACATCCTCTCAGATGATCAGTCTAGGCAAAAAAAATCACAATCGTAAAATTGTGACGGCTATAATAATTATTACTAACCGCATATTTTAGGCACGAAGATTTTAGAACCAAACAGGATTTACAAAAACATAACGCAATGATGCCAACTGAGACCAATACCATCATACAATGCTATAGATTTTACGATTAAAACGAATAACTGCGGGAGCTTTCCACGTAATTTGTAATATTTTAAAATAAAAAACTCTAACCGACTATCAAATGAGACTAAGTAGCATTTTAAAAAATCTTATCACATTTACTTACGTGTTGAATAGTTGAGACATATGATATGCCCACGAACGATGAGTGCTAACTGTTGAAGAATCAACCAAGTTACTCACGCCTGTTACCCCCAGTTTAGCCTAAGCTGCTGAACAGCACTCTCCAACCCACTCTGTCCTGAACCTTCTCTTCCAGTTCTATCCAATGGGTGTCCATTCTAATCATGTTTGTCTCCAATTATTGTATTCTTTTGTCTTGAGTGTCCCAAGTGAAGACTTGTTTTGTAATGCTGTCACGTGCCTTCCGCAATGTGTCCTATACAACTCCAGGGCTTCCTCCTAATTTTCTCCTCCACTGGAATATGATTTGTTCTCACCCGCAATCGGTTGGTGGTGATAGTGTCTGGCCAACGGATCTGAAGTATTTTACACAGTCAACTGTTAATGAATACTTGAATTTTCTGGATGATGGCTTTCATGGTTCTCCAAGTTTCCGCTCCATACAGTGGAATTGTCTTGACATTCGTATTGAAAATTCTGACTTTGATGTTTGCTGAGAGTTGTTTCATCGCTTTCTTTCCCGATCCGCGCCTTCACATCTGAATCAGATCCACATTACTTGTCGATGATGCTGCCTAGATATGCAAAGGTTCTTCTTAATGTCGAAGTCCAGCATCTACGAAGTCCTTCATTTTGTTTAACAATACTCTGCTGAAGACCTTGCCTTGTACTGAGAAAAGAGGGATGCCTCTGTAGTTCTCACACTTGCTGAGATCGCCCTTTTTTGGTATCTTGATCAGGTATTCTTCTTTCCAGTTTGTTGGTACTTGTTCTTCATCCCAAATCTTGTTGCAGGGAATGTGGAGCATCTTTACTGTTGCTGCCAAGTCTGCTTTGATAGCCTCAGCCGGTATGTTGTCTGGTCTCGCTGCTTTGCCACTCTCGATTTGTGTGGTGGACATGTTGATCTCTCCAACTGTTGGTGGGCCAACATTGATTGAGAAGTCCGTGGATGTTGCTTCGATGTTGGGTGGGTTCAGTGAAACTGTTCGACTCAAGATTTCCTGAAACTGCTTTATCCACCTGTTTCGCTGTTCTTCAATGTTGCTGATTACTTTGCCTTCCTTGTTTTTCACTAGTCGTTCTGGTTTACAATGGTTCACAGCAAGTGATCAAGCGATGAGGTGAAAAAAGGCTGCTTACTCAGCTAGCGCAGGAATATTTATACAAGTGAGAACCATGAGAACCTAGGTGTGTAAAAGTCGACAACACAACCAGAGAACAGAATTTCTACCACGTAGGGTAGTGAAGTATTGTAGTAGCTAAGCTTGATAACACTTTTCTTTAGATGCACGTATATTGATCCTCCATCTAGTGTTTAGCAATGCAATTTGGACACTAGTTTAAATTATTTCCGTATCTTCTGAAAAGAAGCAATTATGAAAGGTAGTTGTGTTCAGATAACAATAATAACTATAATCTGCCCACAAATCGCAGTACTACCATTGGAAGCACGTCTTCAATACCCTAATTTTTATTTACCAATAATTTTAAAATGTCTCCATCATTCTGGTGTAAGTAATTAGAAGTAATGTAATGCACAACATGATCACGGCTGAAATTGCCGGAGTAAACTCCCCGATGAAATTAGATATGCAGTGCCTCGTATCAAGTCTAGAGGCACCTTGTAGACGGAAAGAGAGTACAGACAATACAGGTGACAGAACAAGGTCAAATCTGAGGCGATGAGATAATCTAGTGAACAAATAAAATGCACGTTTAAAATTGGACGTAAGCAATAGCAATCAGTAGTGGCCAGAGAGTTAGACAACTCGTCATTTACGACCAGAAGTACCACCAGTAAATCTGAAATTTATTAAACCAATATAACTTTAGCCCTTGGTTTATTTGCGTTTGGCCTGAAGATAACTCGTGAAGTGGGGGAGTTTGTGGTAACCCAGAAGCGGAAATAACAAGAGATAAGTCAACCAAAGACTCAGTAGGCACGTAGAATGAACTTACCTTTAGTGGATAAAACATTCGAAAACAACTGGGAATAACACAAGCACGAGATTAAAACATACAGATGGCTGTGATTGGGACTCGGTAGAGCAGAGATTCGAAACCTTTGAACGAAACACAAACGAATCACGCGGGCATTGCTTGTAGTATTGGATAACATACTTCCAATAACCAATATCTTTTGATCAGGCTGGTATATGCATTTTCCAGCATTCAGTTAGTTTGCGTCCAGCCTGAAGGTAACTTTGTGTTTCATGAGGGCGTAAGAAGTAGTATATGAAACTATCTGGAAGAGGGAAGTACAAGGGAAAAGCTGAGGCAACGACTCAGTAGACAGAATGGACAAACAATTCATCAGAAAGTTCAATCGACAGCAACCAGGCGTAAATTAAGCCTGGGCATAAGAGAAACCGATAATCGAAACTAGAGGATGGTGGTGCTTTGGTAATGCCCAACGGGTGATACTCTAACCACTGGACAGCAACAATTCTAGTCACTTGTCAGCAATTAATGAATATATATGTCCACTGACTTAAGTGAGTGCACCAGATTCAGCACGGCAGGGTTTCTGGACACCAAAAGCTATCACATGACCTGGCCGGAGATCATTTAGCTGCATCGTCAGGAATAACGAAGAGAAAATTTTAATGTACAGAAGTGAAAGTTTCAGAAAGAAAATATGAAAATAATAAGTTGACTGGTTGAAATCTCAAACACAGTCAGAGGGGAAAATTGTAGGGATAAACGAAGCGACAAAGGTATCAAAGGCGAGGTGGAATAATTTAGTTATTTTAGGAACTGATAATGATAAAACATACAATTTTCAAGACCTCCCCAAGGTAGAGCTGACCCGAGAGGGAGATGATATTCCGTGTGCGAGTACGTGTTTTTAAAGTCTGTCATTAAGGCGAAACACTAATGGGGATGCAGACACTTTGGTTGAGAATGTTTCTTGTTGGGACTGTACCTGAGTATCGACTTTGGCATGGAAAATTTATCCAGTTTTATTTTGAAGTTACTGCAGGTCCCAATCCAAAATAAAGGAGCAAATTGAGAATAGCGTTAGTGATCCCATCATTTAGAAAACCAACTTGCCAAAATAATGATAATCAGAACGATTAATTCAAACCACTTAAACTCTGCCCAAGGAGCTGAAAGTTTTTCATTCATAAGAGTTATGACGCCTCAAGGTGAAAGCTTTCTAAGGAAGTTACGAGGCCGACTTCCTGGCTCTATCCAAGGAAGAACAAGAAGTAATTAAAGGATGGGAACCCCATGAACCTAGGATCATCAAGGCCATCTTCGAAGCAAAGAATAAGGGCTTCAAATTGAACGTCATACAGTGACATTTGTCTACCAACGATAGCACTGAGGACGATAAAGATCAATTCTATGTAGGGCTGAGGTCAGTCTTCGAGAAATGCCAAGCAAAGGAGTTGACTTTTCTGATGGTAGATCAAAATTTCAAGGTTACAGTGGTCAACAGTGGTTATAAAGAAATCGTGAGGCAACATGGACTAGGAGAGTGGAACGAAAACGGTTAAAGATTCGCAAATACGTTTCTCTTCAACAAACTGGTCAGAGGCGGCTTCATATCCCGACATAAACGCATACCTAAAGCAACATGGATGTCTCCGGACCATACTACGGAGAACATAATATGCATCAATAAAAGGTTTAGAAGGACAATGGAGGATGCGAGAACTAAGACAGATGATATAGCCTCAGATCATCACTTCCTGGTCACCAAGTTAAAAATGAACCTGAAGAAGCAATGAACAGCTGGTCTAACTGCATCACAAAAGTTTAATACGAACTTTTTCAGGAAACAGACAAAATCAACAGATTCACGATAGCATTCCATAGTGATTTCCGAACTTTTCACGGCCTACTCGATATAGATGAAACTATCATGTAGAACAACTGGAAACGGATCAAGGAAACGATCACGGCAACAGGTCATGGGGTTCTAGGCCGAAAAAGCACCACGAAAGCAATGGATCTCAGTTGATATTCAAGAAAGGAGGAACAAGAAGATGTTACTCAATATTCACCAAAAAAGAGCAGTCAAAGCCAATGTACAAGCTGAATACTTTTAGGCATACAAGTGAAGAGGGGAGTCAGAGCTGATAAGCAAAAACATTTAAAGGATCCAACAATGACAGAAGAAGCTACAACGGAAGGAAACATGGCAACAATACAACTTCACGGAGAAGCTTGCTGTAAACCATCGTAAACCAGAACGACTAGTGAAAAACAAGGTTTGCTTTGCAAGGAATTTGTTACGAGACAAGCCCTCACTTGAAATCCCCAAGGCTAAGGGAAAAAGTGGTAAGTTTAAGAACAGATTGCGCCTAGAATGGGAGACAGAAATGAAAAGCGCTAGTAGCAATTGGCCAAAACTGGAAATGAAAACCCAGGACAGAGAAGGTTGGAGAACATAGGTCGGTTGCCCGAGCTTGAAATTAATTGGTCGAAGCAAGTAGTAAGTGATTTCAAGGAGACTTAAAGTTGTTTTCGCGGACAGCCTATTATATTTATTATGTGGAGAACACTATCAAAAAAGGATTATAAAGTTAATTTATAAATTCTTTTTATAAATAACTCTAGACACAAACTGCATTATCTCCTGACCGCCGGCTGATCGTCACAAAGCAGATTATAGAAAATGCTCTGTCCTTTAGACTAAACACCCAACATTTCCTAACACCACTGAAAATAATGTGTGGAAACATATTACCTTTGTACTTATGACCAGTTCTCTTTATAGTATACCAGTACAGCTGAGAATCTCATTGACGTAAATCTGGTAGCATTTGTAATAAATCAGTCTTACCCGTAACCTACTGTTCTGCAAATTAAATATTCATGAAAGTATCTAATAACCAATTTCTGCTATAGATTTGTGCATCCACAAGAAATCAAGCAGTCGAAAATGAATACAGATATTTTTTGTAAAACATTGTGCAGTTACCTAAATATTTCATACGATACATTGGTTTCGTATAGATAGCTAAAATTCTCCGCGTGAAATTTCAAATAATTTTTCAGACTTTGGAATGTACGATTCGAATAATTGACGTGATTTGCGACGTTCGCGTAACAGCGATCAGCTAATGGCTGCGAAACAATGCAGGGTTAAGCCAGGCCTGCAAACATTACTGCATTGTTACTTAAGGTGGTCAGAAAATTGCATTTTGTAAGCGTATTCACCGAATAGAACTATGTCATCTGCATATTTTAAGTCAACCAGCGAGTCTCTTGATAGAAGACTCACCCCTCAAAAATCAGACAAAGATAATGTTATCTCTAGAAGCAAGTCCATGAAATTCTGACAAGGATAAGGTTATATCTAGGAGCATGTCTGTGACAAAATTAAACAGGAATAAAGAAAGTGGACATCCCTGACGGACACCACTTGAAGTAGAGAATTCCGATGACAGTTCGCCATAAGCTCTCACCCAACCAGAAGTTTTAGAGTAGAGAGCTTGTATAAGGTTGATGTACTTCTTTGGTACACCTTTCAATGACAGACACTGCCACAGAACTTCACGATCCACAGAGTCAAATGCCGCCTTAAGGTCCAGGAAACCAACTATTGTAGGACGCCTAAATGTGTATCTGTGTTCCAGGACCTGTTGTAGTGTGAATATGTGGTCTATACATCTATGTCGAGGTCTGAAACCAGTCTGGTTTTCTCAAGTCTGCTCTTCACGTGCTCTGGTTAGGTGTTGGAGTATTATTGAGGACAGTATTTTTGATAGTATATCAGTTAGACTTACTTTTTGTGATTGTCACAAGAAGACTGTTGTCGTTTTTCGTAAATTGAGACCAGTCAGATGGGATTACGTGTAGTTCCCGAATTTCGCCTAAGATCTCAGTCAATCTACCTTCAAAAACTGAACCATCATCCCTAAAAATCTCAGGGGTCAATCTACCAGGCTACATTGCTTTCCCTCTTTTTAGATTTCCTATAGCTTTCTCGACTTCATTAGGAGTTGGAAGACTCACATCGATTTGCCATTCAGGTTGACTGGAGATCGTGGGCTACTGAAGTGTGGCTGTAGGCCATTGAAACTGATCCCTGAAGTGTTCTGCACATCGATCTGGATTGAGAATGAATAACAGTCGCATCCTTTTCCGAAGTAGCATTACTTACAGTCAAATTGCAAATTCCGATTTCCTCGATAATTCGGAATATTTGTCTACTGTTGCATATCACTTCCGCCTTTTCCATCTCATCGCGTAGACATTTCATCGGCCTGCGCTTAAGCTGACTCCACTCTTCATCGTACTTAGAGCAAGACAGGATGAGTTTCCGAGCACCCGTCAATCCGGTAGATGCTATTGAAATCCACCGCTTCTCTGTAACTTCATGGTTTAGCTTGCCAGCAGATATCAATTCTGTTTCCATAGCTTTCTGGATATCATCTCAAGCGTGAGCATCACTTACTAAACGGCTGCCTAATTGTTTTTCTAATTGTTCCTGAAATATATTCTTTGCTTTGTTATCTTTAAGTTGAACGGTAAGAAGTTTTTTGGTCGGGTCTTTACCACAAGCAACGTAAATCTAGCGGATTCCCTATTTGCGAACTGTGAAATCAAATATATGATTTTACACGGGTTTTTTATGTTCTGGATTTACTCAGTTCACTATCTTGGATTTGTTTCAGCTTAAGTATTCATCTTCGAGATTTTGAATCCACAACAAATAAGTTTAACGACGGTGACATGATGATGTACAGCACAGTTTACTGGCCTTTATGTCAACCTAAGAAATGAATATCAGATAATTAGGTCCAGGGCAATATCTGTTTGAACTTTTTGGTTCTTGCCCTCGGGGGGAATGAGCTTTCTTGTTCGGAATTTTCGCTTTTACTAGGGGGTTTAATAAACTCATCAAAAAATCCCAATGATTTATTGAAACCTAGTTCGTTTATAAAAATCGCAATACCGATCAAAATCAAGTATAGGGATTATTTACACTTACAGATAGACTTAACTGAGCTTGAACCCATTATATTAAACTGCAGAAATGGAAATGGATATGATTAATGGTGAATTCATAGAAGAAATTACTAAGACTTCGACTATCAGCCTGTCATTCATTAGTATAAAGTTTGGGAATGTACGTGGCCTAT